GTCTGACCATCTCTTAGGTTGGCGGTCATGTGTTCTTTGACATCCTGTGGAATCCAGTCAGAAACAGATATAGTCCAGCAATCGTCTTCAAATCGCATGGTGTGTCTGGCCCATCTGATTTTCGACGCCTTGGCAAACGAGACAGCATCCCTGATTCTTGATCATAGAAGTAGGTCGGGACTTTGGATTCCTTCTCTCACTTGAGTGAAACATGATATTCCAAGCATAACTCTTTTGATTCCTCTTTGGGATAGCCGAGTAGCGTTCTGATCCTGTTTTTGTAGGGCCCAGGGCTATGAGACACATGTTAATGCAGAAAGAACAGTGGAGTTGAAAAGATGTGCTCGGAGCTGGAGGTTCTTCATCCTCTTAACCATTTCTTTGATGCTCTTGAAGGTGTTCCATGCCGCTCTCTTCCTCCTGTGCATTTGAGGTGTCAAGTTGTTTCTCATAGTAGATTCTTGACCTAGGTACACATAACTGCTGCATCTGGAGATGTTTGTTCCATTGAGAGCAAATGGAATGCCAGGAAAAAGTCCATTTCTCATGAACATTGTCTTCATGAGATTTAGCTCTAGTCTGACTTTTCCACAGTCATGGTCGAAGTCAGCCAGCATTCATGCCTCTTGGCAGATATTTGCGGTTATTAGAATGATGTCATCAGCAAAACGGAGGTGGAATAGTTGCCAACTGTCTATCTTCACTCCCATTCCTTCCCAGTCCAGTGCTCACATGGCGTCCTCAAGGGTGGCACTGAAGAGTTTCAGTGAAATGGTATCACCCTACCAAACCCATCTCTTGACATCAATGATCACTTCCTTGTAGAACGGTGAGATCCTGGAAGTGAATCAATAATACAGCTCATGGAGGAGCCTTATGTATAGAGTTTGAACGCCCTGTTTGGCTAGGGTTTTGAAGACCACTTCCATCTCAACAGAACCAAAGGCCTTCTTTAAATCAATGAACGTTGGACAGAGTGTCATCTTGAACTTCTGAGAAACCTCAGTGAGCTCAGTTACCATTGAATATGGTCGATCATGCTGAATCCTTTTTGGAACCTGGCTTGCTCTCATGGTTGTAGGTTCATCTAGTGTTCTGCCAATCTTATTCAGGATGACTTGAGTGAACAGCCTGTAGATGACAGATTATAGGCAGAATGGGCGATAGTTGACAATGTCGTGAATGTCTCCCTTCTTGTACAGCAGTACAGTCCTCCTAGTTTTCCATTGGGTCAGACAGTTGCATTCAGACAGGTAGTGTGTGAGGAGCCGGACCAGTGTATTGATGAGTACTGAAGGCAGTTTCTTCAGGTGTTCAGGTCTGACCTTGCTGGGCCGGGTTCTGTTCTGATGAAATAGCATGTCGGATTTCAGAAGAGAGAATGCTGGGAACCACATATCCATCCTGCGGAATTTGGTATGTGGGCAGGTGAACATGGCTATGAAGGAGGTCCGAGTAGAATTCATGGATAACCTTCTCCATTGCCCATCTGGAAGATGTGATAGATCCATCAGGACGTCAGAGGGCACAGTCATCTTGGTCTTATAGTTGGAGAAGGACAGGCAGGCATTGTGAATACTTTTCCTTACTTTTGCCACATCAGCCAACACTGCTGCTCTTCTTCCTTTGAGGTTCTTTTATTGCTTCTCTGCACAGCTTGCTAGTTCGGATGTTAGCCTGTGATTTCAGAGGCTCGCTCCAAACCACTTGGTGAATGAGCTGGAGAGTTTCTGAGCCAGGCATCCTTTTGTGGCTTTCTCTCTTTCGTTGTTTCTTGCACAACCATGGAGATGATGAATCAGTCAATCATATTCTATGTTGATGCTGTCATTGCTGAAATGTTGCTGAAGTAGTGCCAAAGAGCTCCCAGTTGGTGGATGTTCTGGATGTTCTTGTCTTAAACTTTGAATCCCTTTCTCCCTGATGTGTGAAGTATAATTTCGCATGAAGGAGGTGGTGGTCTGATCCCGTTTGCAATTTTGGGACAACAGCGACATTAGTCAGGCCAACCATCAGTTGAATATGATGTGATCAATTTCGTTGTTGAACTGTCCAAGGGGAGACTGCCATGTCCAATGTTTAGATTTTGCCTTCTGGAAGTGTGAATTACCATGTTTGGCCTTGGTCAGCATAAAAAACTGTAGATAAGTGAGAAATAGGAGTTTCCACCGACCTTGATAGTGTCTGCCTCATTGTGGCAAGAGAACCTCAATGGTGCCAACTGGAGAAGTTTGAACCAACACAGAATGTTATAACATGCTGCCCACATGACAGAGCTCAGAAGCTACCTGTGGCATATTCAATATGACAAAAAAGTAAAAAATATGGTCCTCATTCCCCGACTCTGGAAAAGCCTCCAATACTGCAGCTTTGAGAAAGACGAACAAGGAGAGGCTGCTAAAATCTCAGGACTGAACTAGGCTGCCAAAGCGAAGAAGGACAAAAATGACTATCTGCACTTTTAATGCATGTATGCTTGCGTTGGAAGCATGCATTGATAACCTGATGGTGCAAGTGCAGAAGACCAAGTATGACCTCATTGAATTGACAGAGACAAGAAAGCATCAATCACAACACGCCACTTTCGACACTGGAAAAGAACTGTTCTTCAGAACATGCTATAGTAGACCGTCGGTGGTGTTGGTGTCCTTGTCAACACGAACTTGGCTATGAGCATTGATTCATTTGAATACCTAACAACCTGAATTCGATGCTTATGACGTTTGAATACATCTGGCTCATTGTCGGCAGTTTCTGTCTTCATCGTCTATGGACCAGCATCCAACTATGGTGAAGAAGAAATTGAGAATTTCTACATGGAGCTGGAGAAGTTCTATAAAGAAAACCACATCTTCTACAAGGTCATTGTAAGTAGGACTGAGAAGTTCCCCCTAAGAACTCCACATTAGGTCCAATGGCCTAGAATGGAATGAACATTTATTTATTTAATTTTTAAAAATTTTATTGAATAACAATGAGATAAGGTACAAAGCTTCATGTCTTCCCCCCAGTTCATGAGGCAGGCTGCACTGGAGCAATATTCTTGGTCATGTCTCTACTTTTTCTGCTTGTCAGTCTCATATTATGTTATCTGATATTCCACAAATGACTGCAGTCATTCTATGTCTGCCCCTTTCTTTTTTAAATTTTTTATAATTATTTTAATTAAAAATTTTTTTAGTGAAACACCATGAGGTACAGTTGTAGACTTACAAACTTTCGTGCTTTGGTTTCAGTTATACAATGATCGAGTACCCATCCCTCCACCAGTGCCCATTCTCCACCACCAATGATCCCAGTAGCCCTCCTCCCTTTCTTTCTGAATCATTTCACTTAGTATGGTACTCTCAATGTCAGTCCAATCATAAGCAAATTTCATGACTTTACCTTTCCTAACAGCTGAGTAGTATTTCATTTTGTAGATGTACCTCAGTTTATTTAATCAATTGTCTATTCTCAGGCGGCAGTCTTTTGCCCCCGCGCCTGGGTGTCCCTCGCCGGGACCCCTTGGAGGGGAGCGGGTCGAGCTTTCCTCCCCGCCCCGACTGGGGCTCCGGCAGCCGAAGACCTCCAGGACCAGCCACCACCATGCTGAGACCACTCTCCGCAAACATGAAGGTACTGGCAGAGGGACAAAGCCACGCGGGTTCCGGGGCCGAGACCTCCAAGCCTACTCGAATTGGAGTCGAGCATCTTCCACCCAGATCCTCCAAATTCCAGTAGGCGGGGGTCACACCCACCACCTGGCCCCCTGGCGCCGTGTAATCCCATCAGCGGCCAAGACTCAGAGACTATAAAATCCAGATTTTATATGCGGCCGCGCGACATCTTATCAGAACTTTTCTTTATGACATCTTATTATCTCATTCCTACTTTGGACAAACTTGCAGGCTATCGAATGTAGCCTGCCCACAGGGCAGAGTCTGGCAAACTCCCCGTGGCGTACCAAATATGCCAAATACCAGTAACAATGATGGGTCTCATTCTCCTAAAGAGCCGTGAATATAATCTCAGGGCTAGGATGAAAGAGACGTTACTGGGGCCTGCTCGAGGCAATCGACGATTAACAGGATGATGAAATGAAAATGAAAAAATTCTCAGGCACTCGGGTTGTTTCCAGATCTAGCCAGTCACGTTCATTTTCTGGTGTGCCTTCCTAAACCAGACTGTGACAGTTACATGCATGCTCAGATATTCTGTTGGTTTCCTTGTAACACAAACTAGAAAGAATATTCTGTATAATCATGAGTTCTCATGGCCATACCTGAGATTAGAGAGAAGCGACTAAGACAGTTTAAGCAGGCCATGCAATTTAGGCATACTATATTTAGATTCTGCCTGATCTTTCTGATTACAGCCTACAATTTCTCTACTGAGTCACAACTTTTCACAAACATCCAATGTTCTAAGGTCCTGATTTTCCCACTAGTTTCCTAGATCATGTCCCATTGTACAGTGTCTGGAGGGGAGTTTTCCTGGCAGGAAGTAAGGGCAGCAGCAGGACCCTGAGCCCAACTTTTTTCTCTTTTGGGCCTTTCTGCCTGAAAATGGCCCACTGACAGGCAGAGACAACACAAGGAATTAAAGGAATACAACCCAGTAGCGCCTGGTCTGTGAGTGCTCATGTCAGTAATCTGGAAAGAGTGACCTCTGACTCATTTTCATTAATGTGTCCCAATGGCTAACATTTGTCAGGGTCACAATAGATTATTATGAAATGTTTTCCAACTAGGAGATAAAAGATGAGTGAGGGGGAACTTTCAAAGCAAGGAAAAGTTGAATCACATGCAAAAAAATAGAAGTCATTAAATGGAACTGTCACCTGAATAAGCATGCATAATAAGAAGTATCATGATTCCTCCTAATTTGGAAACTTAGTTTGTTTGAATGTATTAATTAAACATGCACAATGAACTGAGGCTGCGCAGGCGCAGATGGCATCCTGGGGATACCTTCAGCAGTTGCCCTAGCAGTGCAGAGATGGGCCCTCTGATTGAGATATGTGTAGCACAGTGACTTACTGTGACCTAGGAAAGGCTTCCAAGGATGTCTTCAGCAACAGATATGACTTTGGTATGGTCAAAATAAATCTGAAAACCAAGTCTTGTAGTGGAGCGGAATTTTCTACTTCTGGTCATGCCTACACAGATACAGGGAAAGCGATCGAGAACCTAGAGACCAAATACAAGGTCTGTAACTATGGATTTACCTTTGTCCAAAATTGGAACATAGACAGTACACTTGGAATGGAAATATCTTGGGAGAATAAGTTGGTTGACATGCTGAAGCTGACTCTTAATAACATAGTTGTACTGAACACAGGAAAGAAGAGTGAGAAATTGAAGGCCTCCTTTAGGTGGGAATGTTTCAGTCTTGGCAGTAGTGTTGACATAGATTTTTCTGGACCAACCATCTATGGCTGGGCTGTGTTTGCCTTTGAAGGTTGGCTTGCTGGTTATCAGATGAGTTTTGATACAGGCAAATCCAAACTGTTTCAGAATAATGTTGCCTTGGCTTACAAGGATTCAGATTTCCAACTGCATACTCATGTAAACGATGTCACTGAACTTGGAGGATGTATCTACCAGAAGGTTACTGACAAAGTTGAAACATCAATAAACCTTGCATGGACAGCTGGCAATAATACCAGCCATTTTGGCATCGCTGCTAAATACAGGCTGGATTGTAGAACTTTTCTATCTGTTAAAGTAAATAATGCCAGTCTGATTGGACTGGGTTATATTCATACCCTTTGACCAGGAGTCAAACTGACCTTATCCGCTTTAGTTGATGGAAAGAACTTCAATGCAGGTGGTCACAAGATTGGGCTGGGATTTGAACTAGAAGCTTTATGTGATTTTGAGTGAAACATCAGATTTTTCCCTGGGTGTGAAGAGAAATAAACTCACTGTTATTTTTTTTTGCTTTAAAATTCTGTGAAATTTCAAAAGTGTGAACTCTTTATTCTTCCAAATTATTGTAATCCTTCTAACGCTGAAGTCTATAGAGATCGCAGGTCCATTCAAAGGGAGGTGCTTGAAGGCATGCTTGGGAGTTGACATGTTTTATGCCACATTTCAGTTCAGTTCTGCAGTGTTATCTTAATTGTTTTTTCTCAGCAAGGATGTAGTGTCATGTTACTCGGGAATGACCGGATCCTCTAGTTTGTGCCTCATGTCCCGCATGTCCCACATCACTTTTTTATGACCTCTTAATATATTGGTCTCTGTGCTATAGTGGAATCTTTGGTTTTGAATCAGAGTAAAATAAAATAAACTCATACATTTGAAACATAAAAAAACATGCATAACGATTACTTTTATTTTCTGTGAGATCAAAAGTGAAAAGACTTTTGTGGTCACCTGCTAAAATAAAGAATATAGTTTGTGATGATATTTAAAAACTCACTCAATTTGTAATATTTTAGTATGGAAAAGGGCATGTACGTAATAGAGAGTGGAGAGAGTGGGGTTGAATAAGAGACTTCATTATTTAATTCTGTTGCATACGAAAGTATGGGAAAATGATAATATTTGTACTTTTTAAATGGAAAAGTGCTGCTATTTATTCAGCTATTGATTAAGCTCATTGAATTGGGCATGAACTCCACATTACATTTTTAAAAATTTTTTAATTGGATATCCATAAGATAGACCATTACAAAATTCTTCATGATTGTTTTTTAGTCAATAAATGATCCACCACCCATTTCTCCACCCATGCACATTTCCCACTTCCAATGTGCCCAGTTTCCCTACCACCGTCTTCTAACCCCCAACCCTATCCTCAGTCTCCCTCTATGGGAGGCACTTTTCTCCTTTTTTTTTTTTTTTTGCTTTTCCTTGTATCTTTAATGTTCTAACAAAGACAGTTTTTATTTTTTTAAATTTATTTGTTGAATTACCGTGAGAAAAGTCGCAAAGCTTTCAGATTTCTGAGTCATACAATGATCAAACACCTATCCCTTCACCAGTGTGCATTTTTCACCACCAGGAAGCAAAATATACCCCCTTTCCCACCCCTCCAGATGCCTGTGAGGCAGATGATTCTTACTTAACTCTTTCTACTTTGTTTATATTCACTATTTAGACAAAAGATGCATCATTATTATTTGGAATTTCCTCCAACACTCAGAACTGCTGAAAAGGCATTGTGAAATAATTTGTTTTCTATTGCTGTTTCACATGATCACTTGATCACTTGACATCCTGTTACTCATTGATTTTCTTGAGCAGGTGCCAGAAACATCTCCATTTGTCCTTGTCACATGCTAATATAGCCCAATGGTTTCTGCTCATTCTAGGAACATGAAGACCCTCAAACTGATCATTCAGGTTCTTTTTTTTCATTTTTTTTCTTTTTATTAGTGAAACACCATGAAGTACAGTTGTAGATTTACAATTTTTTGTGCTTGGGTCGATTATACAATGATCAAATACCCATCCCTCCATCAGTGCCCACTTTCCACCACCATGGAAAATATCGCTCCCACCCCCCCATCCCCCCCTGCCTCTGTGGCAGGGCATTCCCTTTTGTTCTCTCTCTCCTTTTGGGTGTTGTGGTCTGCAAAAGAGGCATTGAGTGGCAAACATGTTCAGTCCATAGTCTACTTTCAACACTCATCTCCCCTCCTGGAGGATCCTCCAAACACACTTTATTTGATGCTCCCTTCTCTATATGAGCTGCCCTTTCCCCTAGAATGACCGACTGGCCTCTAAGCTATGGAGTAATCCTCCTGGTACTGATCTCAGCTATTCTTGGGTATTAATCTCCTATATTGTTACTTTGTATCCCCCAGATGAGCGCAATATTTCTATGTCTATCCCTCTCTTTCTGACTCATTTCGCTTAGCATGATACTTTCCATGTTGTATCACCTGCATGTAAATTTTATGACAGCTTTTATAACAGCTACATAGTACTCCATTGTGTAGATGTACCAAAGTTTCATTAACCAGTCATCTGTTCTTGGGCATTCAGGTTTGTTCCAGTTTCTGGCTATTGTAAAGAGTGCTGCAATGAACAAACAAGTGCAGATGTCACTTCGACTATACATTTTTGCCTCTCTGGGATATATTCCCAGGAGTGGTATTGCTGTGTCAAATGGGAGCTGGATTTCTAATTTTTTGAGAATTTTCCATACTGTTTTTCAGAAGGGCTGAACCAGTCGACATTCCCACCAACAGTGAAGGAGTCTCCCTTTCTCACCACATCTGCGCAAGCATCGGTTGCTTTTGTTCTTTTGAATGTGGGCCAGTCTCTGAGGTGTGAGATGGTATCTCATTGTGGTTTTGATCTGCATCTCCCTGATGATTAATGATGTAGAGCATTTTCTCATGTGCTTTTTTGCCATTCAGATTTCTTCTTTGAGAAAGTTTCTGTTCATTTCATTGCCCCATTTTTTGATGGGGTTGGAAGTTTTCTTCGTGTGGAGTTAAACCAGTACTTTGTATATCCTTGATATCAACCCCGTGTCAGATGTGTATTCGGCGAATATCGTTTCTCATTCTGTAGACTGTCTTTGTATTTTGGTCACTGTTTCTTTTGAGGTGCAGAAGCTTCTTAGTTTAAGATAGTCCCATTTATCTATCTCTGTTTTCACTTGCTTGGCCAGTGGCATGGCATCTTTGAAGATACCATTAGCTTCAATGTCATGGAGGGTTTTGCCAACTTTGTCTTCAATGTACCTTATGGTTTCTGGTCTGATGTTGAGGTCTTTAATCCATTTTGTTCTTACTTTTGTACACGGTGTTAGGCAGAGTTCTGAGTCCATTTTTTTGCATGTAGCCATCCAGTGATGCCAGCACAATTTGTTAAAGAGGCTTTCCTTACTCCACTTCACATTTATTGCACCTTTATCAAAGATTAGATGATCATATGATTGAGGGGAAATGTCAGTGTATTCAACCCTGTGCCATTGGTCTGCAGTTCTGCCTTTGTTCCAGTACTATGCTGTTTTAATTATTACTGATTTGTAGTAGAGCTTGAAGTTAGGGAGGTTGTTTCTTCCCATTTTCTTTTTCCCAAGAATTTCTTTAGCTATTCGTGGGGGCTTATTGTTCCATATAAATTTCAGGAGTGTTTGCTCCATTTCTTTGAAAAATGTCATGGGTATCCTTATAGGGATTGCATTGAATTTATACAATGCTTTCGGTAGTGTTGCCATTTTGACAATATTAAGTCTACAGAACCATGAGCAGGGGATATCTTTCCATTTCCTCATGTCCTCTTTTATTTCCTGAAGTAGCCTTTTGTAGTTTTCTTTGTACAGGTCCTTTACTTCCTTAGTTAAGGTGATTCCTAGGTACTTGATTTTCTGGGGCACAATTGTGAACAGGATTGTTTTTTTCATGTAGCTTTCTTCTCTCTCACTCTTTGCGTATAAGAAGAAAGCCATGGACTTTTGGGTATTGATTTTATAGCCTGCAACCTTACTATACAAGTCTATTGTTTCTAGGAGTTTTTTGGTGGAGGTTATTGGGTTCTCTAAGTTTAGTGTCACATCATCTGGGAATAGTGAGAGCTTGATTTCTTCCTTTCCTACCTGAATGCCCTTAATATCTTTTTCTTGACTAATCGCTATTGCAAGTACTTCCAGTACTATATTGAACAGCAGTGGAGAGAGTGGGCATCCTTGTCTCATCCCTGACCTTAGAGGGAAGGCTCTCAATTTTTCCCCATTGAGGATGATGCTTGCTGTATTCTTGTGGTAGATGGCTTTAACTATATTGAGGAAAGTCCCCTCTATACCCATTTTGGCTAGGGTTTTCATGTCATTCAGGTTCTAGATGAAGAAACTGACCATCTAATAGGTGGGCGGCCACACAGTCTTTTGATGTCCTGTGGAATCCAGTCAGTAATGGCTCTAGTCCAGTGGTCGTCTCCAAACTTCATTACGTGTCCAGCCCATTTAATTTTCGATGCCTTGGCAAACAAGACAGTGTCCCTGATTCTTGACCATTGACAGAGGTCGGAACTCCAGATTCTTTCTCTCATTTGACTGAAGCACTATACTCCAAGCATAGCTCTTTTGATTCCACTTTGGGAGACCTGAATAGTGTTCTCATCCTGTTTTCTTAGGGCCCAGGTCTCTGAGACATATGTTAATGCAGGAAGAACAGTGGAATTGAGAAGATGTCTCCGCTCTGTGAAGTAAAATTTTGCACGAAGGAGACAGTGGTCCAATCCCATTTGGAATTTTGGTACAACAGCGACATTGGTCAGGCAAAAACCATCAATTGAATATGATGTGGTCAATTTCTTTGTGGAACCGTCCACTGGGAGACTCCTATGTCCAACGTTTAGATTCGGCCTTCTGAAATTGTGAGTTACCATGGATGGTCTTGGTCAACATGATTAAATCGGACAGTAACTCACCCTTTTTGTTCCATTCTAGTCCATTGGTCCCGATGTGGAGTTCTTCAGCTGATCTTCTCGGTTCTATCTTGGCATTAAAATCACTGACAATGATCTTGTAGAAGGTGTGGTCTACTTTATAGAACTTCTCCATCTCCATGTAGAACTTCTCAATTTGTCCTTCATCATAATTGGATGTTGGCACATAGACAACAAAGATAGAAATTACTGGCAGTAGCCACATCTATTCATGTATAATCATGCGACGCGGTTTGTTAGACATTCGAATGAATCAATGCTCATGGCCAGGTTAGTGTTAACAAGGACACCGACACTACCAACGCCTCTTTTGTTGCATGTTCCGAGGAAGAGTTCTTCCCCAGTGCCAAAAATGGCATGATGTGATTGACGCCTTCTCGTCTTGGTCAGACCAATGATGTTGTACTTGATCTTTCACGCTTGCACCATCAGGTCCTCGATGGATGCATCCAATGCCAGAGTACATGCATTGAAAGTACAGACAGTCATTTTTGTCTTTCTTTGTTGTG